TGCTAGGCAGAAACTTGTAAACTGCCATGATATGTATAGAGGTTATCCAGTGTTAAGGGCTTAATAGGGGAGAGGAGAATAGTTATGATGTTGCGATGTTTCTGTTTTTTGGTTGTGGTAGTTGTAGTAGTAGTAGTAGTAGTTGTAGAAGTAGTAGTAGTAAAGTTAGTTGTAGTATCAGAAATAGTATTTTGTTGATAATTGTTATTGTTGTTATAAAAACTGAGACTTTCAGTAACATAGGTATTTACTATCAACAGTGCGAGGAGCTGGGGCTGTTATACACAGTCACTCAAAGGCATCTGTGATGGCGACACTAGCCTATGCTGGGTCAGAGTTCAAGGTTACCCATTTGGAAATGATTAAAGTAAGTATGGGACAGAGACATACAGACAAGCAGAACATGATCTTATACAAAAATACTTATGCATCCAGAAGATATTGAACAAATGCCAAAAATTTTATAACCCACAAGTTTATACACCCACAATTACACATGCTCATGCACAAACTTTCTTTCATTCTTATCGTTCATTATGATCCTGATAAACTGAGACATCAAACTTTTATTCATGATTCTTGCTCATGGGTTTACTACTTTGTTTCATTGTTTGGCATTATCTGAAAGGTAAAATATTTGCTGCAGGGTATTAAGTGTGCCTCAGAAGATAGGCAGATGAGGTATGATGAGGAGGTGGTCGTGCCCATTATTGACAATACACCTTTTGAAGCAGATTTGGCAGATAGCATGGCACAGGTGAGGTGATACTGTATACAAGTGTATATTTATATACTATTTATGTATTTATTTACATATTTGTTACTGTCTATATATTTTCCTGTTTATATTCCCATTTGATATTATAAACTTGCAATATGAAAAATGGAAAGGCTAGGCCATATATCCTAAAATTCAGTCATGCACCGACAACTGCAAGTGCTATTTGGGCTATTTGAGATTGCCTCCTTGTTACAAGCATAAAATAGTCAAGTGTATCTTCCTAGGCAGATTGCTTGAAGTTACCAAAATGTTGAACACTATTAACGTAGCCTCTAATGATTTAAAGGAAACAGTTAAAACGTACAGGAATCTTTAAAGTAGAGTCTTTGGCTATTATTAACTTCAATTTTGTTGTTTTTTTACCAAACACAGGCATTGGAGCTTTACCCTGACACAAATGCTGTGTTGGTTAGACGACATGGTGTTTATGTGTGGGGCGATACATGGGAAAAGGCCAAGACAATGTGAGTAACTTTTTTTTCTTCTTCTTTTTGTTTTTTTTTTCTTTTTTTCTTTCTTTCTTTCTTTCTTTCTTTCTTAATTTTAGAACAGGGAAATATTTATTTCATTTTATTTTTTTATTTTATTTATTTATTTATTTTAATTTTTTTCTCTGAATATCTGTGTGTGAGGTAATAGTTTAAAATTATTCCCTTCACCTATATGTCTGCATGCACCCTCTCTAACATTCCCTCTCTTAGCCTTCTTTTACTGACCTTTCTCTTCTGTACCTCATTGCTTTTCCTTTTTCTCTTTCTTTCACTACCTTTCCTTCATTGCTCTCTCTCTCGCTGCTTACCCTTCACCTTGGCCACTCACACTGCTTCCACATTCCTGCTCTTCCTCGCTTTTTCTTCTTATTATTGGTATTATTATTGTTATCATCATCATCACTATTATTATTATTATTATGATTATGATTATCTGTTTTCTGATTCTCCTGTTTCTCTTTTTCTATGTTATTGATTTCATTCATGTTCTCTTTATCAACAGGGCAGAATGCTATGATTACTTGTTTGATATAGCAGTTCAGATGACCAAGTTTGGACTCGACCCTTCAAAGCCCGCGGAAGATGAGGCCAAAACAGAACAAGTGAATGGGAAATGAAGGCAAGACTAGAAAGGAAGTTCTTTTAGCACAAGGCAAAAGGGGAAAAGAATAATAAGGCCAACAGAATTATTCATGCTGGATTTTTTTTGGCCACATTGCCTCGTCTGCTCAAGAAAGGAGTTTTATTTCTAAATCTTAGAATAGAGAAAAGAACTTTTTAAACATGAAAAACTTCCCCCACTTGAAAAATGATAATGATTTTAAATGCCATATTTTCTTTGTATGGGAATAACTTCATTGTATCTTTTTATCATGAGATTTGCACACTCACTATAACCATTCCCTGCAAAAAATGCAATAAAAAATCCAGAAAAGTAAGGAAATCAACTCCTGTGGTTTCTTTTTTATGAGCTTAGTAAGAATGATATTTTAGAAACCATTCATAAGTGCAGCCTGTTTTAACTTTGCAAATTGGTGATGTGTGAAGATGAAATATTTGGTTTTATAATTGTTATTGGGAAATAAGAGATGCTCAAGTTATCCAGATGCAAATGTTACCAAAAGAAAGTTGGTTGATTGGACAAGCCATTACATATTTTAGTTCCTAAGCACTTCTTACCTTTTTCTCCTTCCTTTTCTTGATTTAGATTCTGTTAAAAGCTTGCATCCAGATTTTAAAACATATATATATTTATTTATATTTTTAATGAAAAGCAAAGTCTACAAGACTCACAAGAGTATTTCTTACTCTTAAGTTTACCTTTACAAAATGGTATATTGTTATTAATTACAAATTCCTTAAAGAGTTATAAGGTGTAAAGTCATTATCATCACCATGAAGAAAATTAGGATTAAGAAGCAGTCAAAAGAAGAGAATGGAGGAAGCTGTCCACCATCAAAAAGAGTACAAACAAATGAAAACATACCTGTATTTCTTTTTTTTCTATTCCTATTCTAGCATATAATTGCGAGTTAGTTCAAACATTTAGCATGTAGGAAATCAAATCAGAATACACTTTTAAACAAATGAGGGTGAAGTTTGCTGTAACTTTTTATATCATGCAAATGTCTTTGTTGAATTTATAAGCTTCTTGAAAACTGAAGGTATTTGCCAAGATGAAATGTAACACTTTAGTTGATTGCAATAACCAAGTTCAATTGTATCAAATGCAGCTACTGTAATAAATCTGTATGACTGTTAAATTAAAAATCCTCTCTTGAATACAGAACGAGCTTACCCTTTACAGAACACACAATATTGATACTATTTTTATTTGGTAAATTACCATGAAATAAACTTATTGTTCTCCAAATGTTCTTCAGCGTGTCTTTACCTGTCATAACTACTAGACTGCCTCTACTGGAAAAAAAGTACTCTGGCAAGAAGTCACAAGCAGTTTGAGTGTGCATATTATTTCTTTTTGGTGTCCATGTATGTTCTCTGAGTGCATGTCACTTCTAGTCACTGACTACTTTGGTCTTATACATTTCCAGTGCTAAGTTAATCATACCTTGTATTATCAGAAAGTTTATTGTAATAAGAGAATGAGACATTTGCCAAGTTTGACTGAAAAATGGTATGAAATAAATATATGGTTTTATTTGAGGTTTTATATACAGTAGTGTAATGTGCAAAATATTTTAGCAAATGTCTATGGGCCAGCTAGCACACCAAAAGGCCTATACATGGCCTACATAAAAACAGAGACATGAGCCATGTATGGTAATATGGTTCCTTAGTGCTTTTTTTTTTTTTTTTTTTTTTTTTTTTTTACCTAATTCCTACAAAACAAACCATTCACCATGGTGCACATCCCAAGGGGTTGAAGGGGTATCAGCTGGGAGCATTGGATTGATATAATGTGTTTCCAGCAAGGTGGTAATTTTTGGTTCTGCATGAAGGACATGTTGCTTGGAGGTCTGCAAGTTAATTTAGTCCATGGTCTCAAGAATGCATATAATCATAGAAGGTTCACAATGTAATTTATATACATATTTTTTCATTCTTATCCCTAATAACATATGTGGGTATAAGGATATGGCCAGACAGGCCTGATCAACAGGCATGCCCAATGTCAGGGGTCGGCAACCTTTTGAGCATAGTGTACAAATTTATAATTAATGCATTCTTATTGATAACCTTGCGTGCCTCTTTTTTTCAGCACTGTATACCCAGATGTATTTTCCTGCAGATGCATAACATGAATGTAACATCATACTAGCATTTAGTATTCTTTATAACAAAAAATATATGTTTTATAATTTTAGATTTATACCATATCAATATTTGGACACACTGAGCTTCAAATAACCCTTAGAGTGACCCACTGCAATGGGGGCTGAGGGTATGCTGCAAGTATGAAAATATCTGACTCACATTGGTATTTAGATCCAAATGATGATAGCACTCCCTCTCCCACTCCCTCCCTCAGAATAAGACAGACAGACTCACTCACTCACTCACTCACTCACTCACTCACTCACTCACTCACTCACTCACTCACTCACTCACTCACTCTCACTCACTCACTCACTCACTCACTCACTCACTCACTCACTCACTCACTCTCTCACTCTCACTCTCACTCTCACTCTCACTCACTCTCACTCTCTCTCTCTCTCTCTCTCTCTCTCTCTCTCTCTCTCTCTCTCTCTCCCTCTCTCGCTCCCTCCCTCCTCTCCCCTCCCTCTCCTCCCTCCCTCTCCCCCTCCCTCTCCCCCTCTCCTCTCCCTCTCCTTCTCCTTCTCCTCCCTCCCTCTCCCTCTCCCCTCCTCTCCCTCCTTCATAGTAAGTCAGTCTCTCTCTCCTCTCTCTCTCTCTCTCTCTCTCTCTCTCTCTCTCTCTCTCTCTCTCTCTCTCTCTCTCTCTCTCTCTCTCTCTCTCTCTCTCTCTCTCTCTCTCTCTCTCTCTCTCTCTCTCTCATTATATTTTGCTGTTTAACTTTTTTTCTTTGCTCCTCTGAATCACAGAGCATGCCATAGACAAGCACTCTGTGTGCCAAGTCTGGCACTCGTGCCAAAGGTTGCTGATCTCTGCAGTAGGTGATGTCAGAAGCAGGCAGACTATTGGCAAATCAATAATTTTGCAAATGCATATCAGTTGTTTAGCCAGGAGTTCGATTCTGGTGTTACTTTGTGGGCTTGTCCAAGGCCTGTTGCTCTGGATATGCCTTAACATACATTGGTTTTGTTGAAAATTAATTATCTTTGAGAATTAATATTTTATTATATTAGTTTATTATAATATTCTATATTCTTTATCCACAGTTATGTGGTGAAAGATGATGCCTTCTTGAGAATTCCTTTAGTTTTAAGTGATTCAGGATAGTGCCTGCAAGCTTTGTATCAATAATACTAAAAAAATTGAAACAATGATTACACTAAAATTCAAAATGTACTTTAACTTAGAGAGGATACAATTAATTGTGTAAATGTGAACTATAACCCTTTTAGGTAGATTAGATACAGACATAAACTTAAACAAAATTCCTTGCTCTCTGTGATGATCACTCAGTTCTCACAGAATAATTTATGAAAACCAAAACATCATAAAACATTTATAGGATGAATCTTTAATGATTAATCTTAATAATGATTAATATTTAGAATTGATAAATCAATTTTAATAGCAACTTAAACAACTTTAGCATTTCAAAGGAATAGGAAATAATATCTCCAAACCTCAACTTTTAGTGTATTCACACCTTGTATATCATTAATCTTTAACCAAACAAAGACTAAGACAACAGGAAAATACCTATGATATATTGAGAATCTTGCTGAGTAGGCTGAATGACATTTCTTAGTTAATGACTTTCATCCTGCCTACCAAGCCCAAAGAAATCTGAACTCAAAACCCCCCTCACAGATTTCTGCAGTCCACTCAGTGGATGGATGGATCACCAGATCATGTTGGGGTTTGTGAATTTTAGGCTGAGTATTTTGAGCAGCTCTATCAGGTAGATCCTCCAGTAGTTAGTTTGGACACAGGAGCTGTGGCAATTCCTCTGCCGGATTCAATCATCAGTGGGAAAGGCATATGCACCATCCCTGCCAAACTGCTAAAGGCTGGTGGTGAACCTGTGGCATAGAGTTTCCATGCTGTCCTGGCTGCCATCTGGCAGTCTGGTACCATTCCTGCTGAGGGGTGTGGCCATCTTTCTCTGGAATGGGAAAGGAGATCAATGGGATTGTAGCAACTGCCATGGAATCATACTGTACAGCATACAGGTCCTTGTGACCACTCACCAAGGCACCAGAGACTGGAGCAATATGTATTCACTCCTGGCATGTCCACAATAGACTATAACCTAGCGTTTTGTCATTGTGGAACACTTGTGACTTTAGTCATGGGCTACTTGCAGCCTACTTTGACCTTAATAAAGTGGGAGATTCTGACACTGGGGGGAATTGCACCAAGGATTGTTGAACTAATAGCAAGCCTATATACTGGTACTAAATGTATTGTCAAGTGTGATGGGAGCCTGTTCAGTTTCTTCCTTGTTAATTTAGGAGTGTTCCTGCACAAACACTTAAACACTCGTGAACTGGCTAATGGGCAGAGCTACTATCTAAAGTCATTGTGGAGCAACACTAGGCAATATCAAAGTCACTAACCTTGACTTTTGTGATGTTGCTATCCTGAGTTTTTAGAATTGCTGGTGGTGGCTCTTGTATTCTGCAATGATGTGAAGCCCTTTGGGTTTAGAGGACTCCTGAACCAAAACCAAGATTCAGGATTTTGTGGGCCTGTTAAAAGAACCAGTTCAGTCGATACGTGATCACAGCGAAGACACTGGTCACAGAGAGCTTTATATAGCTTGGCAGTCCAGTCCATGTCTATGCTCTGTCACACAGGGAACTCAGAAGACAGAGTGGAATAGCAGCAGGAGCCATCAACTCAGTCAACAAGAGTGGAGATGCAGGTCTTTGTGCAGAAGGACCAAGCTACATGTCTTCAAGGCCTTGATACTACTAGTGAAACCTGGACACTATCTAGTGCCTTGGGGTCATGTCTTGATAACTTTTGTAACAGCTCCTTGTGCCAAATCATGGGGTACAGTTGGTGGGACCATGTCTAACCAAAGGTTACACTGTTAGACCACCATAGGACCTACTACTTGCATTATCTGGGACTGACAACTCAGGGTATACAGGCACTTAGCTTGTTTCCCAATGGATGACCCTGCCCATCAGGTTGTCTCTAACCGAGATAATCTTAGATGGAGTAGGCCCATGGGATGTCCTAGGATGTTGTGGCTTGGGCTGATTGACCAGATATATTGTGAGGAGCAGGAGATTGCTCAAGGCCTTGCCTGGCAGCTTACCATGGGGGACCCTGGGCTGGAATTGAAGGGTGAATGCAGCTATGCACCTACAGAGGCATTAAACCCAGTGAATGATTGTGAAATGTGAAAAATGGTATCTGGAAAAAAATCTGGAACAGAGCAATGAGAAGAGGAATAATAGACATTTAGGATGCATATAAAGAGAAGATGCATGTGTCACTTTGTATACAGTAGCTGCAGCAGTGCTGTAAATAAAGCAACTCATGGCTGTTCCAAGTATTCCTCCATATGAGACTGGAGAGTCATATTGATTCTATTATGAGCAGATGAGAAAACTAATGTCTTTATATCTAGTAGATAAAAAAAATGATAATGAAAAATACATAGCCTGAAGGTTCAATTTATTTTTTTTGAGATTCAAACTGACACCCAAAAATCTGGTGAAAAACTTAGATAGAGCTGACCTTTGTGAACAATATGTTCATTGTATTAAGTAATAGGAAGGTAACAAGAAACAACCTAACTACACATAAATTATACATCATACACAGATTTCTCACCTATGCATATGATATTTTGAAATACAACCATAATCAAACATTAAATATACAATTAATCTATCAAAAAATATGATATTTTTTTAGTTACACTCATTACAAGCCAATATAGTAAAGGATCAATTCATACCCTTAGAATTTTATGTAAGTGAAATAAAAAAAAAAAAAATGTATACACATATATATATATATATACATATATATATATATATATAATATAATAATAATAATAATAAATACAAAATAAGGGAAGTTCCAATATATCCAAATACTGGAATGCATGCAGGAGGATTCACAGAAATGTCAAGAGATAAAGCAGAGGAATACCATTTTTCATCAATTGCTGAGCATTGTGTACACAGGCCTAAAGTCTAAATTATTACGACTTGCTTATATATTAGTAAGTTGATTAATTTTACATTGTATCTGGCAGACAAGTTTTTCATGTCTTGATTATATGGGTTCAAAACAGCAAATCTGTCTATTGAAAAGCAAATACTGTGTGTGTGTGTGTGTGTGTGTGTGTGTGTGTGTGTGTGTGTGTGTGTGTGTGTGTGTGTGTGTGTGTGTGTGTGTGTGTGTGTGTGTGTGTGTGTGTGTGTGTGTGTGTGTGTGTGTGTGTGTGTGTGTGTGTGTGTGTGTGTGTGTGTGTGTGTGTGTGTGTGTGTGTGTGTGTGTGTGTGTGTGGTGTGTGTGTGGTGTGTGTGTGTGTGTGTGGTGTGTGGTGTGTGGTGTGTGGTGTGTGTGTGTGTGTGTGTGTGCGTGTGCGTGTGTGTGCGTGCGTGTGCGCGCGGGTGTGTATATTCTTAAGGAAAAATTAAAAACGTCATGCTAAGGCGACAATAAAAAAATAAAAATTCCCAACTAAGTGCCCCTTCCAATTTAAGGCTAACAATATTAAAAATGAAAAACAAGACAAGGAACATTATAAGAAGACTATTATGTTAAAATCTCCAGTACCAAAGAGCATTACAGGATATTTTTCATTGGCATTGTTGACTACTGCAGCATATAATAGATTCCTGAAAGCTAAATGTCCCTTCAACATTCTGAGAATATGACTTATAAATGGAATGTGTAGGATTTCTATTAATATATTCATATTTCATATTCAATATGAGGTTCTATCCTACTAAAGAATTCCCACTTGGCAAAGAGTGTGCAGCTCACAAACTATTTATTGTGATTGAAGAATTCTTTTCCCCAATTCTAATTCTTCTATCATTTACCCTGATTCCTTCTCAAAATTCTGTTTGCTTAGCCAAACAACAGAATCAAGAAAATCTTATTATCTAAATTTCATTCAAACTTACCACAATAGCTATTCTGGAAGCTGTTTGGATATATTAAATGTGCAATTAATTAAGCCTTTCATATTGTGCCATGGATAAAGGTATGAATGAGAATAACTATCTTCACAGTGCAAGAAATGTATGTCGCTATATCTTTATTAGTAATGCTTTATGCATTTTTTAAAGATATAGTTGAAATGTGTCAAATATGATTTGACACATTTGACATACAAATCTTTTGCACTCCAAACATATTAATTCTCAGTCATCCCTTTTTAACATCTGTCAAAACAACCTATGTACATTGTGCCATGGAACTGAATATTTCCCTTTCAAGAGAAGCAGCACTACATTTGATTTCACACTGAGACAGTCAAAAGAAAATATAATTCATAATTATAAAAAAGAATGCAAACATATATCCATGTAAAGAGTACACCAAAACACACACAAACACAATTACAAACATCCCTCTTCTTTACATAGCTACCATCTTCCCACTTGCAGATACCATAGTTTTCTTAATCTTACAATATCATTAAAATATCACAAGGAAATTCACTTGGATGTTACACATAGTTGGTCTGTGAACCAAAAACAACCTGTTTTTCAACCCTTGGCTTGTTATTTTTCTTCACAAACAAATTTATTTCTAACTAGGAGTAGTATTTTCTAAAATTGGTAAAACTCAGTTTGTTGACCAAGACTTCAAATAAAAAGAGGCCATCAAGATTCACATTAATGAATTATATTTTCTATTCATGTCTAAATTTGTGACTAGACCAAAGCATCACTATACTGAGAGTCAACATGCAACCTTGAAATTTGGAACAGATTCTCATGATTGTGACACTGTGACAGAAGTCCCACTGACTGATTTTGCAATTGACAAAAAAAGAAGGAAACAGTATATATATAACCATGAATCACTCAAGAGACAGGACATAGTTTTCATTAAAAAAAATAATAAAATTTATTCATCACCAATGTAAACATTTTACTTGAGATCTGTGTTCTAATCTCATTACCATACTTTTGTCATTATCTATTCACATCACTATTATTGCTATTTATTTGCCATGATTTCCTGTACAAAAGAAGAATCTTCCTGTTATTGTACTATAATCTTCATTACTAGTATCAATATCATTCATAACCACCTTCATAGATATGACCTAAATGAGGCAAATTGTTATATTGGCTTCATATGTATACAACCTAGTAAATATTTTGGCCAAGTCTGTTCAAAGCACCACTAATTTTACTTAAATCATACAAATTCAAAATAAAACACTGATCTGGCTCCATTGAAAATAGAATTAATTAACATTTGTATTAAATTGAACTTGTTTTTAAACAAATGTACTCCCTAATAGAAATAAATAAGTAAATAAAACAAGTAAAAATAAAAAATGCAATATCAAGATACCCTACATGCACAAACAAATTAATTTACCATATTATAACAATAAATATCTTTAGCCACTTTGCCTGTTCTTCACATCAAGTAAAAATGCAGTATCATGAAATTACCTGCTAAAACAAAATCAACCCCATTTTTTTACAACCTGAATATGAAGAAAGAAAAGAAAAATCTACCAACAATTGCCTTTTCTTAGATTTTTGGATAAACAACCTCTGCCTAACTTAAATTAAAATATGGTATACAACTATTTGTAACAATGAACAAACTCTACAAATTTCAGATTCAAATCATGCATGTTATGTTATCTGAATTTGAGATCTTAATTGAAAATAAACTATGTGTTCCTTTCATACATGGTTCTAATCAAACCACATTAAATACTGACAGCACCCTAACATCTTCAACCTTCATTAACCACAATAACCTCAGACCACATGGATTCAGGCCACATCCCATTTTCTCTGACATTGGGGGGGCTGCTCTTCCAGTCCCAATGCTTGATAGGAGTAAACCAAGATGGCCCATAATTTGCTCGGATGTATTCTTCCGTCTGGCATGGAATGCGCACTTTTAGATCTAAGAATTCTGTCCAGCATAGAGTAAAAGCTGGGAAGACATATCTGGAAAGAAGACTTTTTGTTGTTATTTTGATCATAAACATAGAGAGTAAATCTGTTATTCAAATCTATAAAGAGAGAAATATAAATCTAAGACATTTACTTGAATACCAAGGTTTATCTTCACCATCTATAGATGTTAAACAATGGTAGAGAGTATATGTCACACAAGACTAGGACTCAAAAATATCTACTTCTTATAAATGGACTAAAATAATGATGCATGACATGGACACGATAAAACACTGATGGCAGGAGTGCTGGTGAAAATGCATTGTCCGCAATTTGTTTTATTATCATATTTTTCCACAAAGATGGCTCCACAAGTGTTTTGTTCCCAAGGACTCAATTACTAGGTCTAACTAATCATACCAATCTACTCTGTTCCTTGAATCTTTTCTGAAAATCTTTTCTCTTCTAATCTCTATCAGTGATTTTAACTTTATATTGATGACGATGACAACGACAACAATGAAAATGATGATGGTGATGCAGGTAATAATAACAATAATAATGATGATAATAATCATAATAATATTAATAATATTAATAATAATATTAATAATATTAATAATAATATAATAATATAACAATAATAAAAATAATAATAATAAAAATAATAAAAACAATAATAATGACAATGATAGCAATAATGATCCTAATAATAATAATAAAAATAATTATAACAAAAAATAAATTACAATAATAATAATAAGTATCATAAAATAATAACAATCACAGTAATAATAATAATAATAACAATAATAATACTGATAATAATAATAATAATAATAATAACAGTGAGTAAACAGACACTTGTCTTGGTCTAGAAGTTCAAAATTCAAGATAAGGCTGAAAAGATTTTCCTGAAAGCAGCATGATGTATTTACTGGCAACAGAAATGATAAATGACAGATAACTATTCACAATAATGATTAAAAATTGACAATCAGATACTGCACACCATGGCAATTGACCATATGCATGAATCTAACACAGCATATACACTCTATATCATATAAAACTTAACATGACTATATAAACATATCTTACTTGAATTTCTTCCCTGTTTTGGCCTGTGTTCCTCCATTCCACATGGTGGCTCCCTCAGTATAGAAGAAAAATATGTCCAATTTAATGTCTTCTTCTTTGAAAGAGAGTTCAAAGCTGTCAGACACTTTGCCAAACTTGTGCGTTAATCTCAATCCTCTCCTCTGAAATTCTTCAACGAGTCTTGGGTTATAGTCCTCAATGAACACGCCAATGTCAACATCCATCGCCCAAGGTATGATGTCACACTGCCGATAAAATCCTGTTCAGGTATGAAGACATTTTAAAATGGTGCTAGTAAATGCTTGACAATAATTTTTTAAAAGTACATATAAAAGCAACAAAACTTTTGGAATTTATAATGTACTTTCTGTCCATAACACAGAAGTCAGTATCATTTAGTAAATGGAAATGTGTCCTTAACCTGATGCTATAGGG